GGAAGATTAGGAGGGAGGGAAAGAGGGAGAGAATGGGAGGTATAAAGGAAGAGTGAGAGAGAGAGGGAGCTAAAGAGAGGGGGAGAGAGAGGAAAAGAGGGAGAATAGTTAAAGAGTGGGAGAGTGATATAGGGAGAAAAAGAGAATGAGAGAGAGGGGAGAGAGAGAGAGAGGGAGAGGGAGAGAGGGAGAAGGAGAGGGAGAGAGGAGAGGGAGGGAGAAGGAGAAGGAGAAAGATGGAGTGAAAGAAGGGGAAGAAAGAGAGACAGGGAGGGGTAGAAAGAGGGGGAGAGAGAGCTAGAGGGAGTGTGAGAGAATAGAGGGAGAGACAAAGAAAAGGGAGAGATCAATAGGGATAGAGGGTGAGAGAAAGAGAGGGAGGGAAGGAGGGAGGGCGGGTGAGGAAATGTGAGGAAGAGAGAGAGAGAGAGAGAGAGAGGAAGATAGAGATATAGAGATAGAGTGAGAGAGAAAAAAGAGAAGGTAGAGAGAGTGGGAAAGATAAAGGGAGAGAGTGGGAGACAAAGAGTAAGAGGGAGGGATAAAGAGAGGAAAGGATATGGAGAGGGAGGGAGAGAGAGAGAAGGGAAAGAGGGAGAGGGAGAGAATGAGAGAGATAGAGAGGATGAGAAAGAAAGAGGGAGAGGGAGAGAAAGGAGACATGGAGAGATAAAGGGAGAGGGAGTGTGGGAGAGAAAGAGAAAGGGAGAGAGGGAAGGATAAAGAGAGTGAGAGAGGGAGGGAGATTGGGAGAGAGAGGAGAAAATGAGAGATCGAGAGAGAAAACAAGAAGGGGAGAGAAAGGGAGAGGAAAAAAGGAGAAGGAGAGAGAGTGGAGAGAGAGAGGAAAAATGGGAGAGAGGGAGGGAGAGAGAGGTAGAGGGAGAAAAAGGAGAGAGAGGGAGAGGGAGAGAGAAAAACAAAGAGAGAGAAAGAAAGTGGGTGAGAAGGAAAGTGGGAGGGAGAGAGAGGGAGAGGGATAAAATGAGAAAGAGAGTGACAGAGAGGGAAAAAAAGAGGAAGAGGGAGAAAGAGGGAGAAAGGGAATGAGGGAAAGGGATAAAGAGGGAGAGATAGAGAGGGAGGGAGAATAAGAGTGGAAGAGATAGAGAGAAAGGAAGAAGAGAGAGAGAGAGAAGAAGAGAGAAAGAGAGTGAGAGGGATAGAAAGAGTAAGAGCAAAGGAGAGAGGGAGAAGGAGAAAGAGTGGGAGAGAGGAAGGGAGAGGGAGAGAGGAGAGGGAGAGAGAGGGAGGGATTGAGTGGGAAAGAGATGGAGCGTGAGTAAGGGGAGAGAAGGGGAGGGATAGCAAAAGAGTTAGAGAGAAGGGAGACAAAAAAGGAGAGTGAGAGGGAGAAGAAGAGACAAAGAGTGAGAGAGCTAACGTGAGGAAGAGGAAGAGGAAGGGATAGAGAGAATAAGAGAGTGGGATGGAGAGAGAAAAAAGAGGGAGACGATGAGAGGTAGATTAGGAGGCGGGGACAGAGAGATAGAGAGAGAGAGGGAGTGAAAAGAGAGGGAGAGGGATAGGGAGAGAAGGAGAAAGAGAGTTATAGGAGAGAGGGAGGGGAGTAGGAGGAGGAGGGAGGGAGAGAGAGGGATGAGGGAGGGGAGTAGGAGGAGGGAGGGAGAGAGAGGGATAGAGGGAGGGGGAGTAGGAGGAGGAGGGAGGGAGAGAGAGGGATAGAGGGAGAGAGAGAGAGAAAAAGAGAGTGGGAGAGAGAGAGGGGGGATAGAGAGAGGAAGGGAGGGAGAGGGGGAGAGAGAGGGTAAGAGGGAGGGAGAGACAAAGAGAAAAAGAAAGAAAGATATAGAGAAGAAAAGAGAGAGAGAGAAAAAGAGAGGGAGTGGGAGGAAGAGGGAGAGAAAGATTGAAAGAGAGAGAGGGAGAGAGAGATAAGGAGAATGTGGGAGGGAGAGAGGGGAGTGTGACACCCCTTCCCCAGCCCACTTGCTAATTACCTAAAAGGAGTGACTAGGCAAGGAGCGTGTCACGCCGACATGACCAATTCCCGACTTAACCCCATATACGTATGTGCCTTACATTAAGGACTTATCATATAAAGAAACACATACAAGACAATTTACATAATATTAACAAATACAAGTGGAAGGAGTTACAAACTTTATTTACAATACTATCGAATGTCTATTGATAGCCCAACGCTAAAAATTAGAATCAAAATCAATTTCGATACACTTGTGTCACACATGAGCCTTTTTGGAGGACCCAGTAGCATCCTTACTACAATGACTCTTTCTTGTCATAACATGAAAACAACAATGGGGTGAGCCGAAGCTCGCAAATAGGGTGATGCACATAATATGTAATGAAGTTCCGTTTCCCATTCTACCCATCCATTTTAGTCCGGTACCCTAGGCATTAGCAAGATCGTGCGTTCTATCTCTTGGTGATCATGTTGTCACCTACTACTCTATTACCCTCTCTCGGTGATCTCATTATCACTTACTCGCTCGCAATGGAATTATCCCTCTTTCTAGCACATAGTTAGTAGAATTATCCCTCACTTAACGGTGTTAGTAATAAAGCACGCACATGGTTTCATGTTGTTACCCAATCCATCCAATTCGATTACCAAATCACATTATCTCATGACTCAATGATTTTTCTCAATTTCATACCACCCCTAAATGCACGTGATGTACATGGTATTATGTTTAACACATTCAACTAATTATGATATCAACCCCTTCCCGTGTCTCAACCCACACTAGGGATTTCACAGGTTTTTTCACATACCAATCAAAGTATTCATAATGAGAATACAAATTTCATTCATTGGTATTGTTCATTTCATAAATCTACTTCATACTAATGAGTTTTCCTTCTCATGTATCTAGCAAGTTTAGGCTCGGATTTCCAATGTATCACTTAGTTTACAAGACCGATTAATCCTAAGGATTTATGTGTGACATACTCAAGCTAAAACTCCTTTTTAATCCGAACCTTTAATCTTAGTAGTCGAAGTTGACTCATAATGGGTCTAGGTCTTAATTTTGATTTTTCTTGAACTCTCTTTTTCCATTACTTCATTTATATGTATTATAGTATAGTTAAATCCTTAAGGTTGGAATAGGATTCCTTTTCTAACCCTAGTTTTGGTATTCATGACCGAATTTAACTCTTAATGGGCCTAGTTCCCTTTTCGTTTTTTTTTTCTTGGGTTCTTACCCCTTCAATATTTCATTTTACATTTGTTTAAATGTACTTTAACCCTTAGTTATAAAATCGAAAAGTGAGAACCTAAATCCTCAAAATTTATGGGTCTAGGCCGAATGTGTCCTTAAGTGGTTAAAGGTTTCCCTATTTAATCTATCTTACTAATTGGTCTCTACTTAAGTTAACATTTAATTCTTGATCTTTAATTACACAAAAGAATTCAATGTTAGTCATTTTCTCTCCGAGGCCGAATGGCCCAAACTCGAGCAAGAAATTATTTTTCCATTTCTAGGTCAATTCCTTTTTATACTAACCTACCAAACCATACTTAGAAGGGTTACCAAGGAGATCTAGACCTTAAGGTCCACAAAGGAAACCAAACTCAACCATCAAGTATCCAATTTACTTAATGAAGCCCAAAACCCTATTTTTCCTTGAGTTGGGCCGAATGGGTCTTAAGTGGCCAAGGATTGCCTTTCATTTCTAGTAAATTTATTTCCACCCTAAACTATTAACCCATACCTAATTGGATTATCATGATATTCTAGGCCCTTAATTTCCCAAAAAATCCATTCTTTTCCAATTTTCCTCACTTCGCCGAATGGTTTTAGCCTAGAGAAACCCTAGAAGTGTATTTCTTTCCTTTCCAAGTCATGCGCACCAAATCTAGTTTAGTTACAACCAATTAGATCCATACCCTCTTTTTTCTTTTTTTCCAAACCATCCGCACATCAAAAAAACTTTGCATTACAACACAAATACATAGTTCCATCAAAATTTATCAAACCATAACAAAAACACAAACAACCATAGCAACCTATTGTAAAAATTATTACAAACCCATGAAATAAACACTTAAAAAGATAACTTAAGACATAAAATAAACTAAAAATGGAACCTAATTACTTTTCTTTAACTTTCTAAAGATTTTTTAGGCTTCCCCTTTTTTTTTTCTTTTCTTTCTTCTTTCCTTGTCTTCCCTTTTCCATCACTTTCCTCTCAAAGCCCTTTTCTCCCCTTCACTTTGGTAGCTACGGGTTTAACTTGCCAAAATGGCAAAGTTTATACCTTTGTCATTTTTTTATACCACCTTTTCATCCCATGATTGCATAGTACAAGTGTCTACATTTAAGTGATTAAGTGATAAATGAATGGTGGCTTAAATGGGTGAGGTGGCGGGTTTGATTTTCCAAGTGACATGGTGTTGGTCAAATGGAAGCTTATGGAAGATAAGATGGGCTACGGTTTTGACAAAAAGAATGGCAAAGTTTATACCTTTTTCATCTTTTTTTTATACCCCTTTTTCATCCTATTACATGTGTCCAAATTTGAGTGATCAAGTGATAAATGAATGGTGGTTTTAAAGAGTGAAGTTGCGGGTTTGGTTTTCCAAATGATAAAGTGTTGGTCAAATGAAAATTTATAAAAGATAAGGTGTACATCCAAGTGATTAATTGAGGGTGATTAAATTAACTACATTCCTAGGCTAGCTTGGTTGCAAAAATTTGGCTACTTCTCTACAAAATTCGATAATTAGCATTTCCCATATCCTAAGTTATACTTATTGCATAATTAAGGAAGTTACTAACTAATTAACTTACCCAAAGTTATTCCTCCCCATTACTTACATGCACCGATTTATTCTTACAAATACATACATAACCCCAAATACATATGTACCACCAAAATATTAAAATGTTACATAAATCTCACTCTTGATCAATATTATTACGTACAAACCTTCGTAAGTATTGTGGTTTAGTCAAGAGTTTTCTCGTATGTAACACCCATATATAGTATATCTATATAAATACGAATAGCCCGATACGTACATTTATATAGTCATGGACTTTATGGGGATTACGGAGAGGGAGAAAGGGAGGGAGATAAAGAGGGAGAGGGAGAAAAAGGAGAGGAAGGGAGTGGGAGGGAGGGGCATAGAGAGAGCGGAAAGGAGAGAGGGAGAGGAAGGGAGGGAAAGAGGGAGGGAGAAAGAGAGGGAGGGAGGGAGAGGGAGAAGGAGAAGGAGAGAGGGAGAGATGAAGAGAGGGAGAGAGAAAGAGAGAGGGGAGAGGGGAAGAGGGAGAAGGAAAGGGAGGGAGAGAGAGGAGAGAGAGAGAGGAAGAAAAGCCATGCGAGCGGAGGCTTAGAGACACGAGATGAAAGATAAGAGGGACATTGCCATGCGTAACCACGGAGTTGTCATCATAGAGAAACAAAGCCACACGAGTAGAAGCGAAATGACACAGGATGAGGAGTGAATATGACATGACCATATATGACATTCAAGCAAACTATGTGAGGCAACCATGTGTGGTAAAACCCTAATTTTTATCCATGTCATAACACAATAAATATAGAAGCTAGGGTATACACTAGTTGATTGATCCATGTAATTCGAAATAAGGACATGGATTAGAATAGAACCTATGCTCCGTAGTTACCCTAGACTCTAAAGCCTATGCTTTCAAACCAACTCTTGTCACGACCCCGGGAGTGGGCCATGATTGATGTGAGAATCGAGAGAACTCGTGAGGCCTACCCCGACTCAAAGAAGCTCGGAATATCTAAAATTAAATCCTTAAATCTATAATACATAAAAAAAAATATTTGATTTTATGATATTCCAATCTAATACTTATTACTTTATAACTCCAACACAAATTCTAATTCTATAATATTCTTGCATTTTTCAAAATAAAATCCATAATCAATTTCTAATATAACTCCTACAAGATATAACTACGAGCTTCTAAGAATTAAAAAAAATCAAACATAAGCTCTAAGAGATTATAAGGAAATAAGTAGCATGTTTATTTTCTCGAATCCTACAAAACTAAAATTATTAGGGGTGAGCAAATTAACGAGCATAATGAGTAGATACTATATAACATATCTAAGGGGGAAACGGACTAAGGATTATAACCGACAATTCGAATCAAGATGTAATGTTTATTTTCTTGAAACAAATGCATATTATAAATACTGAATCTTAAATAGTTCAAAACCAACTCTATCAAATCATCGAAACATTTATATACACATATATCATACTCAAATCAAATCAAGTATGAATTACTCTTACATATCAAAATCAAATCAAATCATACTTTTGAGTTTGCATTACACTTAGGGTAAAACATAACATATCATTGGATGCGAACACCCAAAACTCATGCCTCTCGTGACTAGGTGTACGTATGTTGGTCGACACACAAGCTAGCACTACACCTTTCCCGCTAGCTAGAGCTTTGTATCATTGAGCTGAAAAGCTACGCCCTTCGTAGCTAGGTACCCTAAGGTAACCAAATCATATTGAAAACTATATAAGCTTATACATATTCCAAAATACTCAAATGTAGTATATCAAATACCATGCATGCTCAAAACCAAATTGATATTACAATTCAATATCAAATAAACATTAACCGTAATTATGAGAATAATCAAAATAATATTCTAAAGTAAATTAGCATTTAAATTTATAATCACATATGAAACCAAATAAAACCCTTGTTCAAACATATACTCAAATCTTGCTTTAGGTCATATCAAATCATTTTCGATACAAAATCATTTCAAATGCTCATGGGGTATGTTCTCATCTAAGTTCTAAGGAATATGATTTAATCATAGATAAATCGATGATGCATGATAGATATGTCAAAGGAATTTAAAAGCACAATATGCTATATAATATCCACTCATAATACAATCAATAGATAGAATGAAATTAAGGTTGTTGAGATAAAGTCACCCACTTTGAAGAATATAATAACACAGGATGGTGGAATAACCATCAATATTACATATAAAAAATAATTCAAAACAATGAATTATTCTAGAAATAGGAATACAAGATTATATATAAGAATAAAATTAATCAAAAGATTCAATTGATAACTTAACTAAAATCTTACTCTCTCAACAGATTCTAAACAATTGACTAACTAATTCTTAGTTCACTCTATAATCTTTCACCAACAATCTAATTAGCCATCATCAATTCAATTATCCATCATCAATTCCCAATTCAATTAAAACTTTAAATAATTAATCTTCAATTAAATTTTCATTCTATTCTAATTCACTTAATTCTCCTTTCATTCATCTTTAATTGAATTTATATAACTTAATTCTTCATTTTTCCTAAATTTGTTTCAATTCAAAACGGAATGTAAAATTTTTCACTATTCATCATCTTCAACCGCTCAATTAATCAAATTTACCCCATTCCATTTCAATTTAACTTCTTAAACCACTTACCCAAAGCAATTAAATATCATTTAATCACTTATATAATCACTTGATTAACTTTTCCCCAAATGGGTCTCAAACCCAAGCATTAATCTAATTCAATTCTTCATCCTAACAACAAACCCAATCCAATTCAACTTCAAAATCATCAAATACACATATAAATACCTTCATTAAAATATCAAATTATACAAATTCTTACTTTTGACAATTGGTTCTTCAACCCAAATTCAATCATAACTCTCTAAGCTTTTCAAGCTTCAATGCAACTAAACTCCACTTAATCAACTTGCTTTATGGTTTTTGTAAGCTAATTTAATGAAGTTTTAGCTTAGAAATTAAAGGAGGGAGATGGGAGGAAATTGGAGAGAATGGCATGAAAAGGAAGGGAAAGAAGAAAGAAAAGCAGAGAGGGACAACAACTCGTCCCATTTTTATACCTAGCCTCGATTTTTTTTTTTAACTTAAATATTGCTTTATGATGGGTTATTATATTCTTTGCCCTTGGGAAAATTCATCCTCAAAATTTGTTCTAACCATACTTTAGTAAGTGAACAAGTGAGGATACTTTCTCTTCACTTCTTCGTCGACCTCACAAATGGCCTCCTTGATTGAATGGTTCCTTTAAATGAGCTTAATGGACATAATCTCTTAATTATGCAATTTCTTAACTTGATAGTCTACTATTGCTATCGGTTGCTCCTTCTATGAAAAGTCATGATTTAAATCTACCAATTGTAGTTCTAAGATATAAGATGGGTCGGTATATATTTTCTTAGCATGGAAATATGGATATAAGATGGACACTCTAAAAATGTGGTAGCAATGCTAACTCATAAGCCATTGCTCCAATTTAACTAGCGATCTTAAACAGATCCAATATTCCTAAAGCTCAACTTTCCTTTCTTACCAAATTACATTACTCCCTTCATCAAAGAAATTTAAAGAAACACAAAATCAACATTTTGAAACTCCAAAAGTCTTCTTTTAGGATTTGCCTAACTTTTTTGGTTACTATGTGCAATCCTAAGGTGTTCTTCGTTCAACTTCACCTTCTTGGAAGTAAGCTATATAACTTTATCCCCAAGGGCTCCTTTTCCCTTGCTTCCACTCAACATATTAATGATCTACACTTCTAGCCAAATAAAGCCTCGTACGGTGCCCTAACAATGCTAGAATGATAGTTGTTATTATAGGAGAATTTGATCGATGGCAAGTGATGATCCCAATTGCTTTTAGATCCATAACACATGCTTTAAGCATATTCTTCAAGGTCTGAATCATTCCGTTTGACTAACCATCTATTTGAGGATGAAATATTGTATTGAAGTCCAGTCTCATACAAAGAGACTCTTGTAATTTCCTCTAGAATTGAGAAATAAATAGAGTACCTTGATCCAAAATGATGGAGACTAGAATGCTATGTAAGGACAATAGTTTATCAATATATAACTAGGCATATTACCAACAAGAAATGGGTGAACTTAGTTAACCTATCTACAATAACCCAAATCAAATCATAAACTCCTTGGGTTCAAGGAAAACCCATTACAAAATCTATCATCACTCTCTCCTACTTCCACTCCAATAAGTGCCAACTTCCGCAACATTCTTATTGCCTTCCGGTGCTTATATTTTACTTACAACATTCTTATTTACCTTGAAACAAACTCCTTAATATATTTCTTCATTCTAGTCCACCAATCATGCTCATAGAGATCGTTATATATCTAGACATAACCAAGATGTACGTAATAGGCCGCATTATGGGCCTCTCTTAAAATCTGTTCTCTTAGCTCCGGATCCTTTGCACACATAACCTTTAATGAAACAATAGAGTATCTTTACCATCCACTCTAAACGTTGGACTTTTTCCATCTTGGATCTTAGTAAAAATCTCTTGTATTTCTTCATCATTTATCTAGGCCTCTCAAATCTAATCCACCAAAACTAGCCTAAACTCAATATGGGCTAAAAGAATACCCAATTCACTAACTCCAAAAACTAATCTAAAATACCATAATCTATTCATTTTTTATGCCAACGACCACTTTTTCTTCGATAAATGATCTAAACTCCTTACCGACTTCCTACTCAAGGCATTAACCATAACATTAGCCTTACTCGGGTGATAAAAAAAATGGTACAACCATAATCTTTAAGTTATTCCATTCATCTCCTCTCGTCTCCAATTCAAATCATTCTAGTCAAATATGTACTTAATATGTTTATCATCCGTGTGGATGTCACAAGTTTTTCCATACAAATAATGTCTTTAACTTTTTAAGGAAAAAACCATCGCCGTCGATTCTAGATCATGTGTAGGGTAGTTTTGTTCTTGCTTTTTTTAACTATCTTAAAGCATAAGCTACTACCCTAAAATGTTGTATCAACACACATCCTTACCCTTCTTTTGAGGCACCAAAAGTCCACCACTTCTTGAGGGTAAGGTAAGGACTAGTGTCGTGGCCATGCACATCTTTAGCTTCGAAAGCTCTCCTTACACTTATCTTACCGCTAAAACTTCATGTTCTTCTTACTCAACTTAGTCAATGGTGCTATAATTTTTAAAAGTCGTGCACAAACCTTCAATAATACCCGATTAAAACTAAAAAGCTATAAATCTTAGTGACCAAATAAGTCTTGGCCAATGGGTTACCACCTCTATTTTCTTTGGGTCTACCATAATTCCTTCTTTAGACATAATGTGTCCTAAAAACACCACATTCTCTAACCAAAACTCACACTTTGAAAAGGTGACATACAACTTATGTTCCCTTAATGTTTATAACACTCAAATGATTTTCAAGCTCCCTCTCATTCTTAGAGTACACCAAGATATCATCAATGAACATTATCATAAATTTGTCAAGGAAGCGATGAAACATTATGT